CTTTCACCACTTCCCTCTTTGCTCTCCAGGCACTGCAGCCTGGACTGCAGGGCCAGGGATGATTTGAAATGCAGCTCTGCAGAGGTGGGGATAGCTCAGGGAAAACGGGAGGAGGGATTCAGCTGTCTCTTTTTGCAGGTTCTCCTTCGCTTCCAGATCCAGAGAAATGTGATTGCGATTCCCAAATCTGTCACCCCACAGCGCATTGTGGAGAACTTCCAGGTGAGGGATGGCACTTTACATGGTGCCTCCTGTTCTTGTGTTTCTTCCCTCTGCTAGTAGAGTCTGGAAAATCCAAAGATATTTATTTTACTGTCTGTGTTCCATGAATCCATCACTTGTACCCAGCATCTTTTCTGATAAGAACTTGTCCTTTAATCTCGTAAATCTTGCTTCTGATTGGACTTCTTCAAAGAAGTTAAATCAAGCAGGTTTTCTCTTTTTAGGTGTTTGACTTTGAACTGACTAAAGAAGAGATGGCCACCCTTCTTAGCTTAAACAGAAACTGCAGGATCTGTGAAATGGTCACGTGAGTGACAGTTTGTGTCCCTCAAACTCTTACACAATGATCTTTATCCTGATCTCACCGGAACTGGTATAGCTGTTCAAAATGGGTATATTTTGAAATCTGAAATAATTTTGGGGATGAAGCATCTGTTGTTATACTTCCACTTTATTGACTGAAAGGCGAGTGTAAGTCATGCTGTGTGTTCATTGTGAATCCATTCTCCAGGAAACTTCGTATGCTTGGAATTCCAAAATGAGGGTTCTAGTTGATAACTTTGGCTGTGTCCATATGGGAGAAATGAGCACCAGGCAATTTTAAACGTTGGATAATTTTTTTCTGTGGGGTAGTATAAATTGATGTCAGCTCTTACACAGCTGGTTGTGGTGCGGAATGACCATCTGTTGTGCAGTACAAAGCACAGCTGCTTTCAGATATGCACCAAGACAGGCAGTCTTGGCTGCAAGGCCACAGAAACTGCTGCTGTCTCTGTAAGCAGTGTGAATTTTAACTCTGTATCTATAAAGTAACTTGGTCCCACCACTGTTCAGTGCCTGAATAATAGAAAAAGTCTGAAATTTGTTGGTCCTGTAGGCTATACTATCAAGTCTCTTAAGTTCATTTTGCACTTATTCAATTCAGAGCCACCTTTGAAGGCTCCTCTGTACACCCACTGTTGTTCTATATAGCAGTTATTTTAGCCTTGAGTAATCTTTCCTCTTTGATTTCCTCCAGGTGCAAAAATCACAAGGAGTACCCTTTCAATGCAGAATACTGAAGATGATTTTTTTCCTGCCCTCTCTCAGGCCCCCAGGGTTTAATGAGCTTCTACCATTGCCTCAAATTGTGCCCTATGTAGCTGACACACTGTATCCCTCTTCCCAGCAAGGGCACAGGATATGTGTTCAGTGACTTTGGGTTTTCTGTTTGGTGAAAGGAAATTGTACAATTGTTCTGAAGAAAATTCTTATTATATGATGTCTCTGCATGACTGAAATAGCAAAGGAGAAAACAGAAGAGGGAACTAGCAACTGATTTCTTTAACTACTGTCTTGCATCAGCACTACTTAAGGCTGCAGGGTTAAGGATGTGTAAGTGCATGAGAAAAATCCATCCTGAATAATCACATAATCACTGGCTGAAGGTAAAAGACAAAATTAACTTCTAGAGTACAGCCCAAAGCTTTCTAGAAAATAAGAATGAATGGGAGAAGTGTCCAGACCTATAGATGAATAACAACTCATACTGGGCCTTATTTCAGTAACATTTTTACAAGCTGAGACTGGACAGAGATTGATGTTCAATTTCATTCTTGACCAAAATAAAAATTGTTTGGATTACTGCTGGTTTGGAAGTTCTATTCTAATGTGCTGAGTCACTGGGACAGGTCTCTGCTCACTGTAACCACATGAATGAGTAAAGGTTTCTGAAAACACACCATCACGCGTTTCCCCTGAGGAAAGGTGGTGGAGGGTGCAGGTGATCCTGGCTGGGCAGTGCTAGGATAGCTGGGAGGTGTTGTGGCAGTGTGGCAGTTCAGGTGTCTGTATGTCCATGTGTGCCTTGGGCTGGTGGGCGCAGGGCACTTGCAGAACATCTGCTGTATTCTGATCCACAACATCCACACCAGAGCAAGCTGTGAGCATTTGTGAAGGTTAATAGTACTAGAGCCCAATGCTGACTTAGTGCTCAAGCTGTACTACTGTTTAAGTCAGTGTGCAATGGGTGAATACACTTAGACAAGCTCGACCTACTTGCACTGTACATCCTTGGGTTGTAGGTGTGAGTGCATGGATGAAAGGTGCTTGACAGATGACAGAAAGGCTGAGACTGAATGTCACAGCAGCATCAAGAGCATGCCATGATTAGGAGTTAAAATAACTGGGTAACTCCTATCATGAACCACGGCTGACCACTCAGTGCAGACAAGAAATGTGGGAGGAGTCTTGGTACATAAGACGTGACAGTGCCAGGAGAACAATAAGTGGAAGTTCTGGAGAGCTCTGTGGTGAAAGTGTGGATTGCTCCGGTTGCTAAGCTGTGCTGACATCAATCTAGCTTTACAAGCCCTCAATAAAACAGACTATGGGGAAACATGACTACACCCATGGAGATATCCAAAATTATGAGGACAAGAGGTGTAAGAGCATGTGTTAGTGCCGAGCCACTGCCCAGAGCCTGACACAAATCAGGACTGAGTGCTGTATTTCCCCCTGTTGAGGCCACACTGACTCACTGGAGTATTTTATGGGGGACACACAATATTACACATTGTGAGTATTTCCACGTATCATTCTCCTGTCGCTTTATCATCCGTTGCTCATATGTACCAAGATTTCTACAGCACATATGTCACATTGTCTCTGCCAGCCTTTTCCTTCATTGATGCACTTGGTGAATCCAGTTTAGCACTACCACATTGGCTGGTGTTCCCTTACCCCCCTGACAGATGCAAAAATAACTTGGCCTTGGTATGTGATTAAAAATAAAGAAACTTTTGTTCTCAAATGAGGTGTGAACAAAACTTCTGCTTTTGGCTTGAGCATTTTGGTTATGAGAGACAGGACCTCGGATACATTACAGCAAATGCAAACCTTCTGCCCAAAAGCCTTTCTAAAAGACAGAGACCTCTCTGTCAAGAAACCATTGGGGAAAAACCCACAGACTAGGATGGCAGCAGGCTGCCCACGCAAACATCTTGGCTTTAATATTGTTCTCCTAATATCACAGTCTTTCCATTGATTTCACTGAACAAAACCTCAAGAGTCCATATGCTCAGAGCAGATTTACAGAGAAGGAATACGGGGCAGGAGGAATAATAAAAGGCAAACACTGCATTACGTAACTATTTTGTGATGTTAACTGAAACATCACATCCTGCTGAGGATGGCTGATGGTGCTGACAAAAACCAGGAGGATTACAGACAAGCTATTGTCTGCCCTCAGGTAAGCAGGGTAGAAGAAGAGCTACAAAGCAGCTGGGTATCTGCAGTGGGAAAGGCACACAGAGAAAAATGCACTATTATATTGCCAACTTATGCTCATACCTGAATAAATTCTCCAAGCAAGAGCATGCAGCAAAGTTTCAACATAACATCTATTATTCTTCAGCAGCTTTCAAGACATTAAGAGAAACCTCTCCCAACACTAGAAAATAACATTCTTCTTTCAAATAACTACTTTCAAAAGCCAGGGAATCTCAGAAAAACGGAAAGCTGGACAAGACAAACGCAGGTCTCAACCAATGTGGTTAATCAAGCGTTCTCCCTTTATTCAAGATAAGGTGGTAGTTTATATAAGCTTCCACATAGTTTATAAAAACAAAGACGCTCTGATTGGTAGGCTAACATTGTTTACCTTTTCCTTAAAACGGCCTACACCTTACACTATAAAACCTATACTAATTCACACCCAGACAGCCCAGTGGTCCCCATCACACCTTAAGACAATTTCTATCTGCGCCACAAGCTCTGAATTTCTAACTGCATCAGAGGCTTGAAGGCCCACAAGGCCCAAATCTGAGGCCTAGACTGGAGTAGCTCAAATCTCATAACTCATGTCCTCTTCCTCTCAAAAATGCTGCAACACTTTCTAATTTAGCCCTACAAAGGAGGTCGCTTTTCCTCTCCGGCTATCACAAACATCATCCCACCTTCGGAGGGAGCCCAGAGCCCACACTGCAGCTGCGGGGGCTGGGGTGATTTATTAAAAAATATGGATATTGATCTAGTATCGATATCCAACTGTGACGGACAAAAACTCTCTAACAGTTTAAAGTTAGAAAGTGAATGTTTATTCGACGCCGGGCAGCATGCGGGATTGCTCCCAAATACACACCACACCTTCCAGGTGATTACAGAGTCTTTTTATCCATACAAGTATTGAATATACAAAATACAAATGCATATTCATAATTTTGGTACATCCCATTCCCCGCTTCGTATGCTAATCACTCCAAAAGTTATTAAGCATGCGTAGTTTGTCCCTTGAAATGGGTCGTGGTCCCTTTTATGGGGAGGGGTCCCAAAATGAGGAAGTAAATGAAGTCTTCCTCGTTCTGACCTTTCTACCTTTTCAATGCAGCTATGACAAATGAACTCTTGGTAGAACTCCCATTCCTTGTCTTCAATTGGTTTCAGAACAGAGGAGGCCCACAATTGTCTTATGTTCCTAAAAGCTATTTATCAGTTTCTATATTCTTCATTATAAACCCAGCTAACCAAACATTGTGCTGACAAGCAATTAATTATTAGTTAACTACTAACTCCTAACTTCATCAAGGCCTACTCATTTATTATTCTTATTTTAATTAACTCTAGTAAGGCTTATTTTTAACTAAAATCTTAGCTCCTCAAAATCTCTAAATGCCTTAAAGTTTACGTTTCAGGGGGAGAAGCAGCGTGATGTCCCCCCGGGCCGCGGGGCCGTGGCCGGCCCGGGCGGGCGGGACCGGGGACGGGGCGGGCACGGTGATGCCGCCGTTAAAGGGCTCGGCGGGAGGCAGCACCGGGCAGCATTCCCGGCTGGAGCCATGGCCACCTGCCTGCAGCTCTGCACCGGGGCCAGGATGCCGCTGGTGGGGCTGGGCACATGGAAGGTAACGGGGACAGAGGGGCGGAGTCCGCGCCCGGTGCCATCTCCTCCGGAGGGGTCCGGAGCGCTCGGGTGTGGGAATCCAGGGCTTCCCTCTGGCTGCCCTGGCAGGTCTGGGACCCCCCTGTACAGAGCCCCCAGAGACACTGTCTGTGATCTCTGTCCATGGAAAAGAGTTTTCAATCTTACAGGATGAATTACAAGCTTTGAGTGTTTGATAAGAGTAATAATTAAGTGTGACACGGGTGCAAAAGTAAAATTTTAGGTTTCTAGATTAGGGGTTCAGAGGGGACAAGATGGAGGAATTGGGTGTGTCTTGTCCTTTTCCTCCTTCTTCATGCCCTCCATGTTTCACTGTGGTGTTGGCATTTTTCTGTTGTTTTAGGCTGGGGACACACTGTTCAACGTAGATGACAGATATTGGCACGTTATTGTAAATATAGCACAGGTAGTTTCTGGTATTTAATGTTTGTAACATCCCACTGAGGGGCAGAGCCCCACACGCTGCCCTGCAGGACAGAGCTGCGGCAGGGCAGCAGAACATGTTAGAGATAAACAGAATAAACAACCTTGAAACCAGCACAGACGAATTATGGCTTCTTCTTTGGCAACGGGGCAGAAAGACAGAGACTTTCTACAATCTCGGAATCACCAATACCCACAGATTCCGACACTCGGGGTTGGGCAGGGAGCGGCTCAGTGACACGTCCCCGCCGGCATCCCGCCCGGGATGCTGCTGGGGATGCCCTGTCCCTCTGGTGCTTTCCGCAGGCACAGCCCCGGCGCTGCTTTTGAAGCCGCTTTCCCGGCCGTGCCCTCCGTCCCTGCCGTGCCCCTCCTGCCGCGGGGAGAGGTGTCCCTTCGGTGTCCCCAGCCGGGGAGAGGCGGCGGCTCCATCCCTCCCGTACCCGCCAGGGATGCGCGGATCCCACCCATCCAAGCTCCCGCGGCTCCCTGGGCCCCTCTCCCTGCCCCTTCCCGTGCCCCTGCACTGGAGCATTTCCCTGCTGCTTCCGTGCTGTGTGATCTGGGCGAGGTCCCCGGGAATCATCCAGTAACAAGGTATGGCTTTAGAAGACCATTCACGCGTTTCAAGCAAGTTCTGACAAAGAGGTTGGCACTGTTGTTATGAGGACTACATAACCACTGATCTATACAATGCCTAGAAACAAACATTGCTGGATTTGTGTGAACTAGATAAGCCAACATTTCCTTGTGCACAGCTCTTACATGCCCTTGCAGAGTATAGAAACACACAGAATTGCACTCCTCTGTCTCTGAAGGCAGCACAGAATGGGTGGGATGTGCCCCAGGACAAGCTGGGCTACAGCACAGTGTGATACTCCAAAGTGGTGTGGATGACTAAGGTGTAGACCACTGCCCTCCCCATAGAACTAAAATTCTCCCAGCTGGGCCATTTGACTGTGTCTCTTCTTAGACACAGCACTAGGAAGCGAGGAGTGTTGAGCAAGAGGCACTGCAGAGCTCTCTGGCATCAAACTTGGTTCCCCCTGGTCCATCTCAGGCAGCGCTGGGGGCTCTGCTCTACCTGGCTGTTGGCTGAGCCTGCTTAGGACTGGGCTTATGGATAAATAGCTGGAAGTTGGCTTCAAACCAAGCAGCCTTCATTTTTAAGATGATGAGATCTTTAAGAACATGGCATGGAAAAACTCCACTTAAAACCCCACTGTATGTGTTTCTTTAGTTGCTAGGTATCTAAGAAAAGGCCTGTACGCTTTGATTTGGGATCTTAACTTTCTTTTTCCAGTCTCCACCTGGGCAAGTAGAAGCTGCAGTGATGGCTGCCATCGATGCTGGGTACCGCCACTTTGACTGTGCCTATGTGTACCAGAATGAGAGTGAGATTGGAGAAGGGATCCAGCAGAAAATCAAGGAAGGTGCTGTGGAAAGAGAGGACCTCTTCATTGTCAGCAAGGTAAGGTGACCTAGGATCCAGGGGAAAGCTTTGTGACAACATATGCATAGAGGAAAATTCAGAGTAGTTGGGAAAGACTGTGTGCTATAGTGTGGAATAATTAGGGGAATAGTTCAGGCCCATACTGGTTGAATCTTCTTTTTGTCACTGTATTTTGTAGAGCATTATTTAAGATGTGTTCTGTGGGATTCCCTAAAATCAGAGGGTTTTGGGCACGTTGCAAAAGGCAGGCCTCAGAGACAGCAGGATGGTGATTAAAGCTAAGCAGTAGCTATAAGTGTTGTCAGCAGAAAAATTATACAAGAAGTAGAAAGAAAGGACAAATAGAACAATGGTCTGTGTATTAACACTTGGGTAGAATAACTCCCTAAGTTGCAGAAAAGTATATCTGGTGAGATTTTAGGAAGGTCTAAGCTTAATAATGGAGCTCTGTGCAATGTATCTTGAGGCTTACAAGAAAGTATTGTATTCAAAATAAGCAAGCATTGTTTTAACCAAAGGTATGTGTATTTATAGTGATTGGATAGAACTACTGTCAATATGCTTTTGCTTTGTGTGATTGGTCAAAAAGCTTATAAAGTAAGTTGTAACATTAAGTTCTTGGTCTGTTGCCTGGATGTGAGCTGCTGGCATCTTCCCATTGTCACAACCATGTAATGAGACTGATGCTAAAAAAAAACCAGCTCAAGATGCATTCCACAGCAGTCCTGTCCCGTTTGTGACTTGTACATAGCCCCCGGCCAGCGATAGCATTCCACATTCTCCATTTTCATGGGACTGTTCAAAATAGGTGTTAAGCAGAAATGGTCCCAGAAAGTGTGCTGGCTTTTTTTCCTTCTTCAGGAAAGAGCTTTAACCCAGGAGGTCACAATCTGCCTTGTTTTTTTTCTCTAGCTGTGGTCCACTTTCCATGAGAAGCATCTGGTGAAGGGAGCCTGTCAGAAAACTCTTGCTGACCTGAAATTGGATTACCTGGATCTCTACCTCATGCACTGGCCTCTTGGTTTCAAGGTACAGTAACAGCAGAAAACCCTTGGTTTTCTCTCCTGGGAGAGCTCCTCAGCAGTGCCAGGAGCACTTGCAGCACCACTGCTGCTCCAGAAAGAGCCCGTGTGCCTGCTGTGCCAGCACTGCCCCACTGCTGCCCAACCCTCTCTGCTGTGCCCCCGATCCCTGCCCGAGAGCGCTGCCTGCACAGCATCCTCTGCCCTCCTGATAACGGAGAGGCAGACCCAGCAACCAGGTCAGACATCTGGCTGCAAGATTGACTCATGCTGCTTTACTTTGGGCTAAATCATTATTTCCTGCTTTGAGGGAAGGAAGGATGTACTTTGCTGCCTGACAGAAATTCTTTCTTCTGCATGTTACAGAATCACAGAACAAGAGAATGTTTCTGTCTTTCATTTCTTTCTTTAATCACTGAGTCCTTAATACAGTACAGATTGAGCTGACCTTTCCTGTAGGAGCCTTAAAGTTGTTCCACAGACCTTGGATTTCAAAAGGTGAGATTTTTTGACATCCATGTCAGAAGCACATTAAATACATCTCATCCTTCATGTACTTCAAGGTACCTGATGTCCCAGTCTGTGTCTAGTCTCGGCTTTTTCTTTCTGCTGCAGACAGGTTAAGACCTCCATCTTATCTGTTGCTTTTGAGTTTGTCAACTGTTTGTCACATTTGCAAAGCTGTCATGGTTAGCTTTATATGAACAAAGAGCTTGAGTAAAAGTGTTGTGGCATAATACTCTGACAGCTGCACACTGGATGTGGAGCAGTGTGGAGATGTGGGGTTCTATTTCTGAGTTTGTTCATCTGGGTGTTCTGATTTGCCACCAACTTAAGCTGAGGCTCCCCTTACAGGACACCTGTGTGTTTACATAATACCTTCTTCAGTAGATGTGGCTTGGCTTAAACCTGACTTAAATGTTCCTGGGACCTTAACAGATCCTTCAAAAAAGCCTACCCCAGTTCTCTCCTAAAAGAATAGCAGAGGACTACAGGAAGCTTGCTTGTATCACAATAAACAGGTCAAGTGTTTTAGTGAGTCACCACTTTGCTTGGTCTAGGAGATACACCTGACATTCCTAGTAGGAATTATTCTGCATCATTCCTACTAGGAATGATTGCTGGTAAAATTGCCAGGAACAATGTAGAGAAATATTAACATTTTCTGTACTAGTAGAACTAGTATCAAGCCATCATGGTCTTTAGTTGTCTTGGTATTAATTTGCCAATAAAAAGAGTGTTTATATCTTTTTTTTCTTTTTGTTTTTTTGGGGTTTTTTTTGTTTTTGTTTGTTTTTTTGTTTTTTTTAACTGACAGGCAGGAGAGGAGCTGTTTCCTGCAGATGACAAAGGCATGGCTATACCCAGCAACACAGATTTTCTAGATACATGGGAGGTAAGTTCAGCCAGGATGGGAAATCATGTTTTCTGTTACTGGCAGCCTTTTCCATGCTTTCATTGCCTTCAGCAGTCACAAGGTTCTTATGTATTTATAGCACCATATACAATGTAGCCTTTTTAAAACATACATGCTCAATCAAGTTGATAATCTTTAGTGAAGCTGCAAGCCAGACTGCCTGACTATAACAGAACTGTCCTCACCACTGTTCTTAAATTGCTCAAATACACTCTGCTGAAATAAATTAGGCTGTGATCATACCCACAGCCTGCACTACAGCCTTCTGGTGCTGGCGCAAGAACACATCATTGATTATCCTTATTTGCCATGTGAAAACATCTGAGAGTGAATTTCTGCCATCTCAAGAAAGGAGCCCTTGGTTTTGGGTGAGATGGAAGACATGGCACAAATACACCAGAGGTCACTCTCCCCCAAGAGACAATCATTGCAGCCCCAAACAGTTGTCTTTCCTTGCCTGTGAGAGGAAATGAAGGCACACAAGGAATAATTCCTTCAGGGCCTGTCTTGTACACTGGTGCTGACTGTGCTCCTCCTTCTGCCAGGCCATGGAGGAGCTGGTGGACTGTGGACTGGTAAAAGCCATCGGTGTCTCCAACTTCAACCATGAGCAGATTGAAAGAATCTTGAACAAGCCAGGACTGAAACACAAGCCTGCAAACGTCCAGGTGAGCTGCAAAGTGGGATAATAAAACTGCAGGTTTTGGGGGATTATGAAGATCCAATTACAGTTGCATGAGGAGGTGGAAAAAGCAAGAACAAAGCAGACACAGCACAATTACACCCTGTGATCATTTCTGAGTGCACATAAAGATGCTGTAGATCTGTGTTCTGATAGGGAATGTAATTGTGGTACACAAATTACAACAAGAACTTCTTCAACTACTTGTTCTGTTATTAGTAATGGCATCAATCTGTTAAGATAATTGCTCGTGCAACATGTGTTTTTTCTCATGCTGGAATCCACAATTCAGTCACCCAGTTGGAAAGGGAGGTCAGTTTTAACTTCTACACAGAAGCAGCATTTACTGACACGCTAGTGACTTCGTGGTATCTACCCTGATTTATGTAAAATAAAAAAGAAAGTGGTTTTATACACACATATATATATATAAATCACCTAGTCTTTGTCTGCATACAGCAGCCACTGCCCCTTTGTATGCAGGAGCTGCAGAAGTTTATCCCTTCAAGGGGTCTTGGACAGACTCAAACATCTCTTGCAGTTCTGAATTCAGTACTTCTTGTATATTCACTGACAGTACTGAGTTCCCTCAGTCTCCATAGCCTGCCAGCTCTTCCTCTGCGTGTAGTTACCAGAAAAAGAGCATGCCAAAAGGAAAAAAAAAGCATCTTTTTCCTAACTTATAGCACATGAGAAAGGGGCACCAATTCCTAAGAAAGGGACCATTTATGTCTAGAACAGACTGGGGCGGGGGGAGAACAGACCAGATGCAGCATGGCTTTCTCATTCCTCTCCACATTATTGCTGAATATACAAGGCACTGGGGTTTTCAATATCTGCTAAGCTACTGCTTAGAAATCTGAGAAGGACCTCAGAACATGCCAAAGAACCCAGAAGTGAGCCTTCTGAAATGTTCCTTCCCCAGAGCAAAGACCCAGAGGTACAAGAAATCTCACTGTAGAACACTATGGCTGATAATCCCTTGCAAAGACTGGCCCCTGAGGACAATCAGCAGCCTTTAAGTGCATGAGGAGATAATCCCTGCAGTGAGTTACAGCTGGATTCTATCAGTCTCTCTACTCTTCTGCTGGCAGATCGAATGCAATCCATACCTTACCCAGGAGAAGCTGGTGAACTACTGCCAATCCCAAGGGATTGCTGTGACAGCATACAGCCCCCTTGGCTCTCCTGACAGACCATGGTAAGATTGCTTTGCAATTTGTGAGGGAGCTGGCATGGATAACACTTGGAGCACTGAAACAGTAATGTTATCTCTCCATTGTGTAGGGCTAAGCCAGAGGATCCTGCCCTTCTGGATGACCCCAAGATCAAGGAAATTGCAGTCAAACACAACAAATCCACAGCCCAGGTATATGGATGCCAGACTGTGGGTACCCCTTCCTGTAACACAGGGCAGCTAATGACAATGTAGAGGACAGGCTGGCTCTTTGTTCCCTGTCATCTGTGGTGAGAGGCAGCAGTGCAGGGTCTGTTTTCTGTGTGGCCTGCAATGCACACTCTCAAGTGTGCTCTGACTGTCATCGTGAAACATTTTCTTGACCCATCTTCATGCTGGAATGTTTCAGTCTTCATCTCAGGTCCTCTTGCAGAGAATGAAATCTTGATACAAGTCTGAGAGAGCAGAAAAGCTTGATTGGCCCAAAACTGAATGGGAAAGGAGGCCTTTCATGTGAGGCTCCACCACTTCCCTCTCTTCTTTTCAGGCAGGGCAACCAAGGCTGCAGGGACAGGAATGATTTGGGACAGGGATAACAGCTGTTGGAACAGGCTCTGTTTCCTCCAGAGCAAGAGGAATGATTCAGTTGTCTGTCCTTGCAGGTTCTCCTTCGCTTCCAGATCCAGAGAAATGTGATTGTGATTCCCAAATCGGTCACCCCACAGCGCATTGTGGAGAACTTCCAGGTGAGGGATCAGGAGTGAGCTGGGAGCTGCCCCTCAGGGATGGTTTGGCTTCTCCTTGCACAGCAAGGGAGATGATCCTTTATCATTCTTCCCTGCTCAGGCAAGAACACCAGGATTTTTACACTCTTTGTTTAAACACTGTACTAAGGGCAAAACTTAAGGTTACAGTTGGAGACCAGGAATGAACCAAGTCTTTTTTTAGTATGCTAGTAATTCTAGCAGTCACTTTGCATGGTGTTTTGTATTCTGTAGACTGGAGATGAATCACCACATGGTTTTTCACTGGCACTTGAGTGCAGCAGCACACCACAAAAGGCTTATGTAGAGCAAGCAGTGTTAAGGAAACTGTTGTGGTGTTCACAAACCGTGCTACTCTATTGTTAATTCAGTGGTCTTTGACTGCAACTGGTCATTGAGATTTCAAAAAACCTAGATAGATTAAGTGAAATACGGAATTTTTGTAGATGTGCCTTTGGAATAGGACAGAAAGATGCATCTCTCACAAGTGGCAGATGCAAGAGCCTGCCAAGTACCCTGCAATAGCTGGCATGTGTAATTGCAACTTTGGATGAATTTTTCTATTCTCTCTGCCAATGCACTCTTGGTGATACAGAGAGATGCCTTTTTCATGAAGCAGTCATGTCTTCTAACCAGCTACCCTCCCTTGCAGACTTGTTCTTTAATTTTGTGGATTTTGCTTACAGACTTTGATTTGTTCAAAGAGGTGATTCCCAGCTGTTTCTCTTTTCAGGTGTTTGACTTCAAATTGACTAAAGAAGAGATGGCAACTATTTTCAGCTTTAACAGAAACTGGAGAGTCTATACAATGAGCATGTAAGTGGTAGCATTCAGTATTTTTCTCCATAAGATAAGAATGCTATATACACAGAGGTTTTACATCTAAATACTGCCTAGAATGCCAAGAGCCTGCATGATGAAGTAATTGGGATGTTCCAAGTGTACAAAAAATACATACTATAGAGGAAAACAAATCTGGGCTGAACCCATGCTTCAGTTACAGAGTTCAGATCCCACCTTAGTGGCTTCTTTAAGCAAAACTAGACAAGAAAATTATTACTAAAACAAAGTTTTCTATTCCCTGCAGGGGCAAAACTCACAAGTACTACCCATTCAATGCAGAATACTGAAGATGCTCATATCCTGCCCTCCTTCAGAGCTTGGTCTGATATCCTTCCTATCAATTTCTCTGAATTTTTATTGAATTTCTCTTCCTGCAGCCAGTGAAGTCACAGCATATGTATTCAGTGATCATCTTTTGTTTACTCTTTCTGAAAGAAACAGTAAAGTTGCTGTAAATAAAATGGGGGCTGTAATAATTTTTTCTCAAAATGTGGATTGAGTAATCCACATTTAGCGAGAAAGAGACTTTGAACTACACATTCACATTTTTAATTTCTCTTGCTTCAACACAACAGGCTGAGGAGGATAGCTGGCAGTTATGGGAGAAAAATCTGAGAAATGTGAACTAAAGGCCAGCAGTTTTATCACTCCAGAAGTTACTGAGAAAGGGGTTTTTCCTACTTAGGAAAAGCTTTTCCTTAGGGGAAAAAAATAAATAAACAAAAAATAAAAATTCCATAAGTAGAAAATACACAGGTGTGTGGTCAGCACTATTTTCAGCCAGGTTTCCTCCTGAGCATGTGGATTTTCCCTGGGACAGGGCACATTCCCCTTTCCCTGCGGGCAGCAGAGGGCGGCCATCCCTCAGCCACCCGCGCTGTCCCCTCCCTGCCAGTGCAGGGACGTCCTTGATGTCACACAGCCCGGGGGTCTGGCTGCTGGCACGGGGAGCTCAGCCCCCGAAATGTCGGCATCCCCTCTGGCCCTGTCAGCCTCGGGGCCAAATTCTCCCGGCTGATGCCCCTCTAGCTCCATCTGCCTCCCCCTTCAGCCCAGCCACCCATGTGCCACTACCCTTGGCCCCAGAGCCCCAGGTGACATCAGGAGGTGTTTGCTTTTGGGGCCGTGTCACCTTTCTGCTCCCAACCCCTGGGCAGGTGTCCAAATCCAATAATGAAGTTGCACACTGGGTTTCAAGGCAAAAGATCAAAACTTTTGCTGAAGAAAACAAGCACCTCATAGACTTCTTTCCAAAATTTCCACCTTCAATTCATGAAAATGTAATCCAAGAACATTTGCTTCACAGCTTCCTAAATGAAGCATCCCATAAAACCTTCTGAAATCCCCAGGCTAAGGTGAGACTTAGCTCTGCTGAGATCAAATACACATTTTTATTGGACAATAAAGGTACAATGTTACTATGATGCAGAAGTTTGGAGCACCGTCTTATTAGATAATACCTACTCCATCGTGGGTTACAGTGCCCATAGAGCCCTCAATGGTTTCCTTGTTCAAGCATAACTCATCCACCAGCTGCAGTCCCCTTGGAATTAAGTCCTTTCAGCATGGATCTCCTTCAAAAAGTGCACCTGTGTCTCCAGAAGTATTCCTGAGTCACAGTACTGTGAGCTTGAATGCTGGCATGGGACAGGGTGTTTATATCTGTTCCCGTGGTCTCCACACAGGTCATCACTGCCATCCTTATCAAGGGATCTGCAATTTATATTCTTTATATTTTTACATTCCACCCTGCACTTTATTGAAAGAGATGTTAAGGATTGTTTCAGCCTTATTCAAACTCCATCCTTAACATAATCATCATCTTACTGCATATTCTTAACAAACTCCACCCCTTGCCCCTGCAGACCAGTGGAGTTAACACCTCACCAGTGCAAACATAAGACACATATCCCAAACCCACCCTTTCTCTCACAGACAAAATTATCAGGATCAACACTGGAACAGTCAACATATTTTCCAACCACTTCTAAAAAGCTTTCCAAGCTGAACTCCCAGCACTATCCTTGGTCGTGCCACTACTCTGCCCATCTTCTGGCATGCACCATCCAGAATGAGGCGTGTAAGTTACTCCTTGATATCCCAACAGCTTATCAAGTGATACCAGTAGTAACTGTGCCCAGACCTTACAGCTTTCAGGCAACAGCATCAGTGATCACCACGTTTTCAGGGTCCCTTTCCCCTTGCCTGTAAATGCAACCCAGCAGTTTGAGAAACTAAGAGGGAGTCTCACCTGTGGGATCAGCAGAACCAGATGATTTCTCCCCACAGCCCTTCACTGGTGGGTCCTAAATCCTTCCTGAGTTAGGAAGGACAATGCCTGCTAGTAGCAGAGACCCCAAACTTCCCAGAACTCTGCTCTTACAAGGCAAAAACTTGCATCCCATTTGCTTCAGTTTCCCAGCACTGACATAGTCACTGCAGACACAGTTGCTGCAAGTGCTCAATATTTCTGCAATTTCATTCTGAGCAAAGGACTGTCAAGAGAGCATTCAGATTCTGGAGAGCAGCACTCCCACCTCCACAGGCCTACCTAACCTTGCAGCTCAGGCTGCCTGAAGAGGCTTTGTTTTCACTTTGCCATCAGCTTTCAGAAAGCATCTGTTTCCCTCTTCCAAGTCATCTTCCCACCCAGCACTGGTCTGCCCAGGTGCCTCCTCTCTTCAGGCAATTGCACACTGTGTGTACTCCCCCTGGACATGCACTGGCTGCTCCACTTCCAGGACTCTGTATTCCCAGGGCCAGGATCATTGCTCCTTCCAGAGCTCTTCTCACTACTCCACTTCTGGGCTGTGACTCAGGGCAACTGAGGGGAGAAAAAAGAACACAGAAGAACAAATGAGTAAATGCCTTTCTTCCCCTTTTCCAGCCTCTGTTTAAGCCAAACACCAATCTGCTCCCTGTCTTCCTCTCCACCTTGCCTTTGTCACCACAGATTACATCCAGGCCATCCCAGTCCCTCCCTGGAACCAAGAGTGGCTCAGAGAGTGATCTGGTTGCCTGATGCTTCCTTTCACCACTCAGTCCTGCTTATTGTGTCCTAGAGCTCCTGGGTAGGTAGTCTGCTGTCCCCAGGGCTGCCACAGTCCCCAGGGCTGCCACTGTCCTGCCCAGCAGAGGTGACCCAGACCACAGGATCCCCCTTTGGAGTGAGGTGCTTCCCTCCTTCTCAGGGGCCAGGGGGACTGTGGGGGACACAGAGGTGCTTCCCATCCGCCAGAATTCAGTCACCCCAAGGTATAGCACCAGTTTCAGAGCCAGCCAGAATCAGTCCTGACCAGCCTGGGGCGCTTCATGGTTTCCTCCTGTCCAAGCTGTCTCCTGCACTAAACCTGCCCTTCCCCACACAGTAATCACCACAGAGGGGTGGCAAGATTAATTCCTCATCCTTGGCTGTGCCCAGAGCTTGCTATTTCAGCAGATGCAATTAAGGGACAAAAACATGAAGACAAAAAGCATCATCAGTTCTGACAATATGGGAGATCCACCAAGGTGTGTTCCTGGGCTGATCTAAGCTCAGAGTGAAAAAGAGGATGAGGTCTTCTGCAGTCAGAGCTGGCCAAGCCCCTGAGAGCTACCTCCTGGCATCCAGAGATTGAACTGGAACCCCCACTGGGCAAGATAAATCTCCCCTCCAAGTGAAGCAGACATTCCTGCTACGCTTCCCAGTGATTCAAGCATGAAACCTGCATGCCCTCACCTCCAAACCCTGGTTCAAGCTGTGCCTGTGTCTGTGCCCTGTGTCTCTGGGTAGCTGTGAAGCTGCAGACCCCTGCAGCTCTTCCCCTTAGTTGTAGATATGATCATATCTCACAACACTGTCACCTCCCTACTTGGCCTTCAGGTGTTCTCAGTGGGCCACTGGGTTTCTCTGGTAAGCATTGTCCATAAGGACATACCCACTTCCCTTATTTTGGGTTCTGTTCTCAGATTCCAAACACCACTGGTCACCAAAGTCACAACTTGTGGTGAAATTACAGTTACTAAATGCAAAGTCAGCAAAACAAACTCCTCCTGTTCCAGCGCACGTGGATCAAGGAAAAAAAAAAAGAAAGCAAGACCCTCCTCCCCCTCACAGTTCCTCAATGTCAGTGCTCTCTGTAAAGACATGGCCAAGGACACAGGGCACAAGATTTAGCAGCCTGACTATCACAGGGTGACTCGTGCAGTACTTCTTCTTCCCCCAAGGCCCCCACCAGATTTTCAGGAGAGGCAAACAGTGGAAAGCTGACTGGTCTTACAGCTCTGAGAGGAAAGGCTCCAACTCGCAAGAGCTAACAGCAAAAACAAAATACAGAACTTCTGCCTGAAGCCCCTTGTGACAGGATGGAGGCATCTCTGTGACTTGAAACCAGGAGGGAAAATTCAGCCCAAGTGGCAAGAGATAAGCATCAAGTTGTGTCAAGATTTTGTGATCCAAGTGAAAGCACATTGCATCCTGCCAGGGATGCCTGATGGCGCTGATATGAAACAGGAGGAACATTAAAGAAGAAAACCAATTACCTTGCTGTCCTTAGCTAAATGGAGCAAAAAATATGAAGCTGCAGATAGCAGAGAAAGGCATCCAGAGCAAAACGCTTGCACCTGAAGAAACCATTCACATGTGAATAAGCAGCAAAGCCTCCCAAGCAAGTCTGGGTTTTTCCATTGCTCTGTGACGTCTTCAGCAGAACAGCGAATGCTTGTCTGCAAAAGCATCAAAGCCAGCTTCTGATGGGAGACTGCCACTGGCCACTACCGCCTGTGGTTACAATCGTGCATTTTATCCTGCGATGTCCTCAGCACCTCCCTAAAGACAGAGGGACAACACCATCATTATGCCACTCATTAAAAGGTCACTGTAACTCTTCTGAGACTTTCAAAACACTCGCAAAAAATCTCTTCCAAAATTCAAAATAAACCTGGGGGTTTTTTTTAGATGCGCTCTATCATAAAAGTTACTCCTAAGCCCCAGCTCCCAGTGGAAGTTGCGTTTGGGAGGAACAGCTTCTCCTGGCTCTCACAAGGTTTGCGCTGCCGGGTCGCTGCGGCTGCACACAGGGCCACAAGTCCCCGGCAAGGGGCACCAGCCAGGGCCACCACCCCTGTGGCAGGGACACGGGGAGACACTGGTGTCTCATGTCCCCCCTGCCACCCCCAGCCCGGGCAGAGCCCCGGCGCGGAGCGGCAGCCGCGGCCTGCTCCGCCCCTGAGCCCCGGCCGCGCCGGGCGGGGCGGGCCCGGCCCTGCTCGCTATTAAAGGCGCGGAGCTCGGCTCAGCCGCGGAGCTGCTGCTGGCACGGCCATGGCGAGCTACGTGCAGCTCAACACCGGGGCCAAGATGCCCATCCTGGGGCTGGGCACCTGGAAGGTACCGGGATGCGCTCCCGTGGGCTGGCGGCGTGAGGGGGGAAGGAAGGAGCGCGGCTCGGGCCCTGCCGGCGCCGCCGACACCCGGCCAGGCCGCCGCCGGGATTTGGCTTTGTTTTAGTTGGGGTTTGCTTTGGATGTGGTGGCTTTCCCTGTTTTATCTTGCCGTGAGAAAGGTCTTCAATGCTGTGTTGATGAGAGCTTTTTTTTGCCATCGCTTTTTTCAGTCGCAGCCGGGGAAGGTGACAGCTGCGGTGACGGCTGCCATCGACGCCGGGTACCGCCACTTCGACTGTGCCTATGTGTACCAGAACGAGAACGAAGTTGGGGAAGGGATCCAGCAGAAAATCAAGGAAGGCGTTGTGAAACGAGAGGACCTCTTTGTC